GGTTCGCCTCTTGATCCCAGTTTTCGAGTACTTTCGCGTTTTAAGCTCGTTTTTCATGATTTTAACATGGAAGTTTCACCCAAACTCATGTTTTGGCATATAAAGACCCTATATATTCATATTTTAATCACATTTTGGGGAAATCTTAATCTAAGAATAATATCTATTATGTAAGATATGGATTTGGAGTGTTGACTTTTCATAAAGTATGACACAAGCTATCCCCCATACCCACTTATGACAACCTACAGTGACTACTAATCCCTACCTAGTCAACTATTTGTCCTCTCACACTCCCCTCCAACAAGATATCTTGATCAAAAGCTAGAAAACCCTCATCTCTCCTTCCAATTTACTCACTCTCTCACCAAAAAGCAAACACCTCTCTCTCTCTCTCACTTTCTCTCTCTAATAACTCGAGATTCCAAGGCTGATATTGAGCTTTTCACTCACTTTTAGTAAGTATTCTCATCCTACATTTGAACATTCTTCACACCTTCACTCAAATTATGGATCTCTCATAACAAATATCGCCATATTTGTTCTTAGATCTTCAAATCGTCGAGCATCATCCAAGTGTTCTTAACTTGGAAACCCCTTTTCTTCATCATCCATCTCAGAAAATCACTCAAGGTGAGTTCATAACCCCACATTTTTCATGTTTTCTTCAAGTTTTACGGGGGGCGGGGGAATACAAGTTAAATCACCTTAACACAACTCAAACTCATACTTAAGCTTTTCCCAGAAAAGTTGAGTCCTATTCACAGAATGTTTTGACCATCTTAAAATTAATACATTTCCAAACTGTTTAATATACAAGCAGTTCAGGTTTATACCTTTCTAATGACTACTTTCACATCTCCATACGATTTTTCTACAATTTATGGTGATTTTTACAAAACTGCCTATTATTTCAGAAATGAATTCGGTCCAGTCTGTGAATATGAACATTTTCACACAAGTTAGAGACTTCTAAGAATCATAATAAAAATTATGAATAAACTAGACACATTTTCTAAACTCTCAGAGTTTATGGATTCAGTTTTCGACTTCGTATGATTTTTCTGTGAATTTTCTAAAACAATGTAGAAAAGTTAAAAACAAGTTACATAACTTACAATATTAACAACACTTTGTAACATGTTGAGCAAAGTGTATAACCATAAGCTTCTAAATGTTGAATGTATTTCTTGTTAGTCTAACATCATAAACAAAATTAGACATTCATGATAAAGGTTTTCATACACTTCAAATAAGTACAATAAACCATAATAAGTATAGTTTATGGGTTTTTACAATACAAACACACTACTTAGAAAGGGGATTCAATTCTGCCACAGAAAAAGGGTTTTATTCTCAATACAAACGGGTTTTCATTTACCACATGATAGACTATAATAGGTATAGTTTATAGATTTCACATCACAAATTTATTACACAGAGGGAGATTTCACTTCCACAACAGAAAAGGTTTTACATTCAAACCACACGTAAACTCGTTAACGTAAGTTGTGAGACAATTCTTCAACTGTACTCTTAGAGTACGGGTTAAAATGCCTGCAAGTTATAACCAGAGTCTCTTGTAGGGAGAGTGTGATAATTGTGTATAGATCTATATTGGGATTGACACCCACACCTTGCTGCTAGCTACAGAAGGACCTGTAGGTCTACGGGTGACAAAAGTCATAAGATCTTGACGTCTGAAAAACGTTGTGGCGGGTTTATTCTAGTTATAGTATGGTTATAACGACTCACATAGGGTGTTAACGACATTTCAAGTTTACGGGAAATTCTACTTTAAAAAAGGGTTTTATCTATCTAAAACTGCATGCATCGTTATAAGTACGAAATACACACATACTCCCGGTCTTGGGATTTAAGACTACATGACTTTTTATAAGGAAAATATTGGATTTTCTTGGGTACACATTACAATTACAAACACGTTATAAGTACAAAATAGACACATACTCTCGGTCTTGGGATTTAATACTACATGACTTTTTATAAGGAAAATATTGGATTTTCTTGGGTACACATTACAATTACAAACACGTTATAAGTACAAAATACACACATATTCTCGGTCTTGGGATTTAAGACTACATGACTTTTTATAAGGAAAATATTGGATTTTCTTGGGTACACATTACAATTACAAGCACGTTATAAGTACAAAATACACACATACTCTCGGTCTTGGGATTTAAGACTACATCACTTTTTATAAGGAAAACATTAGATTTTCTTGAAGTATACATTACATTTACAAACAAAGGTTTTAAAACTCTACATCCAAAAGCTGATGAACTCACCAACTTAATTGTTGACACTTTTTCGAAACTACTTGTATTCCCAGGAAATCAGTGAAACTGGAAGTCAACAGCTTTTGAGGATGGGACGTTAAGACGTCAAATATTTCATTTTGTCACCATAGTGTAATTGATTTTGAAACATGTAAACTCATACTAAGGTGTAACTTTTTTCAATTATATTTATGATGGTTGTATTTGCTTTGGTCACTACTATACTGGTTGTTATGATACTATACATGACGTCCGCCACCCCCGGACGTTTACGTCATCCTTGGTTTGGGGGGTGTGACACCAAGATCGACCATCCTTGCAAAACGTAGTCTATTTTGAGCATTTTGAGCCTTTGGAGTGAGTTGTGGGCTTTCTTGTTTGTGAAAAAGATCTTCAAGGAGTAGGCTATGCTCTCAAGACTCTAGATCCAACATTTTCTCTTCGTTGTGCACCATTTGGAGGTATAAAGCTCCATCCTTGGCTCATATTGTTCTAGATCTTGGTTAAGCTTATATTTTCTTCACTTTTGTCCCAAAATCTAGGTCTTTGTGAGTATGAGGTGCTTTAAAGCCTTTAAGTCATCATTTTAGACATTTCAGGGCATTTTAAGTCATAAAAATGCAAGCTTGGATCTTGGTTTGTCCCCACGCAAGATTTATGGTGTAGAAAAGGTTTAAGCAAGTTAGGTTTTTAGTGTTGGGCTTCTTGTAGCCATGCAAAGGCATAAAGTTTGCAATTTTATGGCCTTAGGGGTCTTATTGAGCTCAAATATGAAATTTGGATGTTGGGTCTTAAGGCATTAAGAACTTATTATGGAGTTTTGCTATAGGGCACATACGTTCGGCGTAATGCCAAGTACGTTGTGCGTACTACACCTCAGCAGCGATACGTTCCCGTATCGGTCGAGTACGTGGGGCGTACCAGTTGGTACGCAGTGCATACGACCCAATCCAGCTTTTGGTCATTTTGGACCTTGAGTCAAGGGGCTTTGCTTGTTGGTCTTGGACCATAGACTTTCATGGTAATGGGTCACTTCTGAATTTGGGCCCATGTTGGACTTTGGATGATATTTGGGTTTGGGCCTAGGATTATATTTCAGGTACTTCCGGATCGAAGGGGAAGAGCTCGGGATGATAGCATCGCGCACACACACTATCATTCTGTCTTATTTGACTCAGATGTATTTGGGATGTTTGATAGACGTACTCTGATTTACCTTTATGCCTTTATAAACATGTGTGGTTGATGGTTTTATAATTATGAAAACCAAATTATTTGTTTTAAATTTTGGGACGTTACATGTCTATATGTTCTTTATGGTTCTCTTGTATTTTTATTTTTAGGGTCTGATTTTGACTTTGGACTGGTTGTGTGTTAAGGGACCAAATCCAAAAAAATAATACAATGAGATAAAAAAGCAACAAAGTTTGTTTTTGGATCGTATCCAAAATGGTTGTTTTTGGATCGTATCCAAAACAAACGCTATTATATATAACACATGGCCAAGTCCCAAGAGTAATAAATTCAAGGGATAAACACAGTAAATAGCAACATATTTTCATTTATTTGTATATTATAGTATCCCATTTTTATTTTTTCTATTTGCTTAAAGTAATTTTTTAATGGATAAACTCAAAATATGATTAGGCCGTCTAGAGTATCGACAACGAGACGACTCTTGGTTTAGGTGAACGACCATTGAACCATAAACACCACGACGGTCCTCTTGTGGTACTGACCTGGAGCCACGATCGTGGCCTCTCGTGTTGCCCACTACAACCCACCACGACCTTTCTTCTTATCTCTTCTTCTCTTTTGCAGGTTAAATCCATCACGACCACAATCACTTTGGGAAGTATACCAGGTTTGTTGTGGAAAGAAGATGGAAGGCGATGACACTGAAGTGGTTTGTTGTTCGTAAACATTATTTTGGATAACCTAAGTGAATAAAATTGAAAGTCTTAATAGTTTTATTATATATATATATATATATATATATATATATATATATATATATATATATATATATATATATATATATAAAAGAAGTTAAAAGTTTGGAATAATAAATTTGCATGTTTCTTTTGTCAACTTTGCCTCTCATTCTTTAGCCATTTTGACGTTTTTGGTCAATGAAATCAAAATTTTTACATTTTTAAGGAACCTTTTAATATTCAAAGTTTGGCCACAAAACTTTAAGGAATTGACAACTTTGGTCCATTTTCTAAAAACTTGCTAATTCCAACCATTTTAATTTTTTAGCAATTTTGACATTTTTGGTCCTTGCAGTCAAAACTTTTACATTTTTTCATAAAAAACAGAAAAAACCGTCCGAGACTTTCTACCGTCTTTTATTTTCTTCTTTTGGTATATTTTTTCTATATTGATCATCATATTTAAATTTTTTTGTTTTTTCCTGCATTCTATCTATCCGTCTCCGTCTGTGAAAATTAAGGGTCGAATTATCCCACCTGCATCTTTTAACAAAAACGATACTCAAATCAAACACACAGCCGATGCGGAGCATGGGTAAAATATCTAATTATTATTTATTTATTTAAATTAAAAATAAAATCTTTCTTTTGCTATTTCTATGTTAGACCAGCACGTGTAACGAGGCAACGAGCCATTGTTGAACCAACGGCAACTTTAATTTAGCTTCCGGTTCCAACACCTCTTACCTTTTTTCCGTTCTCTCTCTCTCTCTCTCTCTCTCTCTCTCTTCCGTCGAACCCTCCACCGTCTCGAAAACTACAACTTATGGCAGCTCCGGTGGCTGAAGAAGACAGCTTCGCCGTAGGATATTCCGATCCTCCTCTTGCAAAAAACTACTTGGTAAGCCCCAATTCTGAAGAAGACTACAGTATTTTCGGTCAGTTGACGAAAACCTCAAATACTCGCCATAATGATCCATATGTTCCTTCATCGCTACCTCTGATCTCCTCTCGTTGAATGTTCATCATCAAAATTTCAATGTTTGCTGGAAATCGGTTACTTAACACTGGATCTGGTTGTGTTTTGACAGTCTAAACGGAAAAAGTCGAAGCCGATTAGATTTGAGGTCCTTCCGACTGAAGTAGAGACGGAACGTCATCCTCCGAAGATTAAGATCGTAAGAAATTGCTTGAGTTTTACACTCTAGATTACACTTTATCAAATTTTGAATAGTACCTAATTGGATCCGAGAAAAAATTGGGGTAAAAGGAAAATCTCTCAACTTTTGGTGAAAAAATGTTTGGACTAACATAAATTCCTCTATTTAGCTACGATCACAAAGCATATTACTGTTTAGGGTTTTAGGGCTCATATATACAGTGAAATTGAACCATTCTTTCTACATTCCATCAAGTTCACAGTTTTCGATTTCATCAACAGGTAGTAAACAATACTTCAATCCCATCTTTGAGGTCAGTTTTGCTTTGCAGCTCTTGTATCCTGCTATGTAAAATCAGAAAATGATGGTTTTGACATGCAGTTTGAAGAAAAGAAAGTCTCCTACTAAACGCTCCAAATCTCCAACTCCATCAACACCTGCAATGATTCTTGCAGAGGAGTTTCAATCAAGCCTTGGAACCGAGTTTCCCAGCTGTATGAAGCTGATGATTAGAACAACTGTCACCTATGGTTTTTGGATGGTAATCCCTCTTTCTTTAACCAATAAACAAAATATGATAACAATACACTTACCCCCCCCCCCCCCCCCCCCTCCCCTCCCTTAGGGCCTTCCATTACCATTCTGCAGATCATTTCTACCAAAACAAGACTGTATGATGGTACTTGAAGATGAAATTGGGGAGAAATGGGAAGTCAAATATATCGCAAACAAAAATGGGCTTAGTGCAGGGTGGAAAATTTTTGTGGTTGCACATGACTTGATTGAAGGAGATGTTTTGGTCTTTCATTTAATCGAAACTTACAAATTGAAGGTAACAATAACATCATCCCATGATCTGATTCAACAACAAGATTGAAAAAATATAAACAATCATTTTTAATTTTAATCTCAATTCATGCTTTTGTAGATTTACATAATAAAAGCAAGTGAACCCAATGAAGTTGATGGTGCTATTGGCCTTTTGAATTTGGAGCCCCAAAAAAATGAAACCGAAATCCCCCCAGGTAAATAATAGTATAGTACAACTACTTTAAATAATTTAAAGCGATAATCACAAAAATGAGTAGGGCCCATTTAACAAACTTTTCTTCATTTCACTCATTTCACAATATGGATTTTGCAAAATTACTTTTTGAACGAACCCCACCACAAAAAAAAATAACATTTTTTTTTTCACATGGAAAAAAAACATTCTTTTTGCTAAATGGACCCTACCATTTTCATCATTTATATGATTAACCCTACATTTCAAGAGAAAATTACAAACATGGTCCTTTATTTGAAATGTTCCCAAAGTCATCTTTAACTGTTACGGATTTAGTCCCTGTATTTTACTCAAAATCACAACTTTGGTCCAATGTTATTTCCCTAAAAACTCGCATTTCATCTTCATAGGGACTAAATCCGCAACAAAATTCAAACAGAAGGACGACTTACGAAAGATTAAAAAAAACTAGACTAAACTCGCAAATTTGAGTAAACCACAGGGACTAAATTTGTAATTTTCTTAAACTACTTTTTGTAATAAATTAAACAGATACTCCACCACCTAAAACAAAGAAACACAAACACGTGGAGGTCCTGGACCCACTTCCTATAAACATGGTAAAAAAGAAGCAAAAAAAGTCAACCCTAGTCAAACCAATTGAAGTTCTAGAACATTCCGGAACCAACAGTGAAGAAATCGGGTCAGAAGTTCTAGAACCTTTCACATCCGCACCAATCCAAGACCTAAAATCCTTGGACCACTTCCGCATAAAAGTCAACGGTCAATGCATTGACTCAGAGCTTCCGGAAGAAGTCAAACTCGGTTACTACAAACTTTGCATTCACAAAAAACAAATCCTTCATGATTGCATTCGCGAGAATATTTATGATAAACTTGTGGTGGGAATGATTGGGGAGACTGTAACAATTGCAAAAGAGATCAAGAACTGCAAGCTCACGATAAGTAAGGAGGAGCTCGAAGCGTGGGATAATTCCTTGAAGTCTTTTGAGATTTTGGGGATGAAAGTTGGGTTTTTGAGGGAGAAAATACGGACGCTTGTGGGGCTTCTTTTTGAGTCGGAATTTGGGGTGGATGTGAAAAGATATGTGGAGGCGAAAAAAGAAGAGAAGGGAATTCAAGATGAGATAATGAGAGTTAAAGGGAAGCTTTTGGAGTTGAAGATTAAGGCGAGGAATTTTGAAGGGGAGTTGGCGGGGTTGAAAGATAAGGCAGAGAAGTATATGATGGAGTTTCGGGATGAGGTTGATGTGCCGTGGTAGGGTGGGGTAGGGGGGAGGGTATTTTAGGGATTTTAGGTATGTTTGTTTGTTGTAAAAGTGTTGACTTAATTTAACTTGTAGATTGTAACTTTTTAGATTGTAAAAGGTGGGATGACTTGTGGATGAATGTACGCGGTTGTTATTTATGATGATGGGAAGGGTATTTTCGTCTTTTAATTATGTTGTTTTGTAGTAGAAAATCGTTTTTGGAGTGTTGAAATTGTGATATGTGGTTGTTATTTATGATAATGATGATGGGAAGGACATTTTTCGTCTTTTAATTATGTTGTCTTATAGTAGAAAATCGTTTTAGGAGTGTTGAACTTGTGATATGTGAATGAATTTAGCAAATTTGTATTATTTTTTTTGTGAAAAGTAATTGCTTTTCTAGTTTGATAAGTTTTTTAGGGTTATATTTTTTTTTTTTTTTTTTGGGAAAAAGGGAATCCCCTTGGCAAATAAGGGTTATATTTTATGATAATAATGGGGAGGGTATTTACGTATTTTGTAGATGATATTGAGAACGGATATTTATGTGTCTTTTGGATGAAATAAAAAGTTGCAAAATTTGTCTTGTTGACATCAATTTAAGTATCTCAAACGCAATAGTTATGTCAACTTTGTAATTCATTTTGAAATTCATGATTTTTTTTTGTTTTGTTTTTTGTAAAAGATAAAAAAAAGTTCACGTTTGTTTAGAATGCGACATACACATTCTAACTCTAAGCGTTTTTGTTAAAAGTTAACATTTGATGTAATTTTTGTTGCAAAAAACGAAAAAAAAAATCTTTTGAGGGACTCCATTTTAACTATTATTATTCTATTCAAGTAAAACAATTAGCATGATTATGAATGTATGAATATAATAACTAAATTATTTTGTGTAAATATATACATAAAAAGTATAAGAAAACAATATTAGTGGTACAAAGTACAACGGTGGTTATATATTTTTGGAAAGTGATAGAAGTCCAACAGGAGGATGTTAATTTATGGGAAAATGATTGCAATATATTTTTTGTTTGTATACGTTTAGTCCTTAATGTTTTTTTTCTTGTAAAATAAGTTATTTAACTTGTTTTGTACACATTCAATCCTTATGACCAGTTATTCCAGATTATGATCGGCTACTTCATGTTAAGTTCTCATTTTGTATATATTTAGTCATTAATGTTTTTTTTGTTGCAAAATAAGTTCTTATTGTTTTTGTACACATTCAGTCATTATGACCGTTTTTTTGGTTTTGCTCATATGACATCCTACGTGGAACAATCATTAATAAAATGTTCTCATACATGGTTTATCTCTCACTTATATCAGTAACAGACAAATATTGTTGATGCCCTAGTTTTCTCTAAAAAGATGTCTTAAGCTTCAGTTTGACCATTTTTCAGCAAATAGGTTTTTTGTTCTTTTCAATTTGACCCCAAATTTTAAAGACGATCTTGAAACTATTAAATAGGTGGTTTCATGTCTCACCCATGTATGAGAACACTTCATTAATGATTGTCCCAAATAGGATGTCATGTGAGCAAAACCTGAAGAAACTTATCATAAGGACTGAATGTATAAAAAAACAATAAAGACTTATTTTGCAAAAAAAAATAATATTAAGGACTAAATGTGTACAAACTGAGAACTTAACATGCAATAATGGGTGATAAAGGACTGAATGTGTACAAAAATAAAAAGTTTAAGGGCTTATTTTACAAAATAACAATAAGGACTAAACATATACAAACCAAAAACTATATTACCCTTTTAAGTCATTTTCCCTTAATTAATCTCACCACTTGTCATTTACTCATGTAGTTACCGGTTCAAACAACAACAAAGTGGGGAAGGATGATAGTCCTTTGAAGGAAGATGTCATCAAATTCCAAATCCGATGATTTTTTGGTAGACAAAAACAACAAAAAATCGGTTGTGTTAGATAATTTGAAGGACATTTTTTGACTCTTCCAAACCTTTCTAGTATGTGTAAAAAAAGGATATTTAGATGTGGATTTGAGGTATGCTGAACAGTTGAAGATCTTTGGGTGTTGTTCGAGTTTGCTAATTCCCGGGCATGTTAGACATTTTGCTAAATCATCATGTCATCAAATTGTGGTTTACGGAAAAGGAGTGTACATGAGATTTTATGCTTTAAGAACATTTGATTTGGATCGATGAGGAAGGGTTTTGCTACTGGCATAGAGCAAAAGTATGTTTCGTAAAATTTATAGCAAATATCGATCATGTATATGGATGATGATCTTGGCCAAATTTGTACAACTAGTTACACACTGATTCTGATTAGGCGTGGTGCTAAAATATGAAACTATTTATGTTTATGTTAAAATTTATAAAAATTTCTAACCTTGAGAGCTTCTTCAATGGAAGAGATATGATGTCAGTTATATAAAAACTTACCACAAAGTTTTTTCTTCTACCGGTTGAAGAGATGTCAATTATATAAAAGCTTATCACAACGTTTATCTTTTAATGGTGAATTGTGAATATTTCAAGATAAACAAACTTTAATTTTTTTAAAAATGATCATTTATTCTGCTAAAAAAATCCACGAGTTAACATGAAGGATCTTTTTTGACTAATGAATTGAACTATGCTAAACTCTCAAGCCCATCAACAAAAACTGCAATATGACTTTTTTCTGAATTACAAACTAATGCTAAACGGCTCACATTCATCAACAAAATTCGTGACAACAAATTTTTAAACGAGTTTGACATTGTCTATGCCGTTGTTTGGTCTGATGCTTGATAGTAATCCACAAAGGGGTATTTTGAGAATAATATTGGCAAATTGGACAACTATAGTTATATCGACATCCATATTTGTAGCATATGATGTTTTTCCAACATGTTTTTAAAGATATCTTAGGATAATGATTGAAATATACATATAGTATAGTCGATGGATCTTCGTTGGAACCGGAAATTAAGCTCGAAGTAATAGATGTGCCTGATGAAGAAGAATAGTTGGAAGTGGAAATAAGAAAAGTGAACAGAAGGTAGTTTGTTGACTTATTCATATGTCAATAGTTATTGTACAAGCTTTGATCATACATACCATCATGAATTCACTAAGAAAATAATTCACACACAAGTTTTGTTGATCCATAATTTCTAGTCGACGTTATATATACACAAACATATTAGACTCACGGACGGATATGTCACATTTTGTGTTACCTATAGGTTACGATGTGAGCTCTTTGCATATAAAATAAACGCCTTAATAAATAATACTCATGAAGGAAGCAGTTGATTTAGGTTTTGAGTTAATAGTTTCTTGAGAAATGATGTGTTCATAAATATTAATCCTTCTGAAGATCGTGAATTATTAGCGAGATCATAGTACAATTTGAATTTTCACAAAGGTGGTGTTTGTTAAGAGGTGATACATATTGTATGGTACACCTTTTCATTATAAAAACCTAAATGAGCATGTTAATAGTAGGTCATTCATTTTCTTATTCTTCTTATTCGTCTTCTCTTCTTAAGGACTTCATCACATGTATCAAACTACAATAGATGATGAGGTTGATACGAAATTGCAAAATCTAACAGTGTTAGTGTGATGTCGAAGCTCCATCATTTATGTCATTGACTCCCCTGAACCATAGTAGAAGGTTTTTGAGATGTCCAAACTTTAAGGTTTATGTAATAAATATCTTGGTATAAATTGTAATGGACTCGTGTAATTTTTATAGGACAAGAAGAAAGATTGTAATATTTCAAATGTATTTATGAGGAACTAGCTTTATGAAGCTACAAAAATTTCTTATTGAAATGCATGGCGAATTGAAAGATACATAGTTGAAACTAAAGGAAACGCATTTGGAGTTGAGGAAGAAGAATGAAAATGATAGTTTGATTTTGGAAGATTGAGTTCGAAAGAGCAAAAAACGATAGTTTGGTGTTGGAAGATCAAATGTTAGAAACGAAGGAAATTCAGTTGGAGTTGAAGAAATAGGATGAAAATATTAGTTTGAAGTATGAAAAATAGAAGTTTGCAAATGTTATCTTACTTATGTTGTTTTGGCCATGGCGATAGTGGTTTTCACGGTATCTATTGTAATATTTATTTTGTAATACTGTGATGAATTTGCTATAATTAGTAGATTATTAAAATTTATTATCTTCATAAATAACTACAGTTATAATAGAGAACAAATAGATAATCAACAAACAACAAAACATGATAAATATTTGAAAAAACATCATAAATGGTCCTTGTGGTTTCCACAAATCTGAAGTTTAATCCTTGTGCTTTCAAAACATCATAGATGGTTCCTGTGTTTTCAAAACTTTTGATGTTTGATCCTTTTTGCTAACTCTGTTAGCTTTTGTCCGTTAACTATTATTTGATTATAATATTCGGAGGGCATTTCCGTAATTTTACTACCTTAAGGACCATTTATGATGATTTGTCTTATATATTAAAAAAAGAAATGTATTATTTAATTTTCAATCTCTCTCTCTCTCTCTCTCCATTTTACATCTGCACCCACCACGGTCCACGACCCATCCTTCATCATCAAGTACTGCTTAAATGGGAAGCTTCTAGGGTATCATTTTCCAGCCACCGTGTCCAACGGCTATCCTACTCTTCACGTTCTCAAATTTCGAAATCCAACAAGGAATTATGATACCACCGAGATGGTTTATATATATGCAGGAACCAACACTCTCTTATTCACCTTCTAACACCCATCTCTCATTGAAATTTCTTGTAACGAATCACCAATATCTATGGAGGAGCTTGAATCACGAAGAATATACATCCAACTCCCATCTCTTAATGAAATTCCCAGACCAGAAGTGTTGTTAGATTGCTGAACCGAAATGATTTGTGGGTTTTCATGTTCTCCAAATCCAATCGGTTTCCTTTCTATCTGGTTATGTTCTTGAAGCTCTTGGCATGGAGGATAGCAACCTGAAACATAGAGTCACTTTGTTCATCCATTAACACTTTGCTAAATACATTCTGTTGTTACAATTTCAATTCATTTGCTAATAGTTCAAGAATATCACAAGCCATCTTCTTCATTCACATAATCATTCACAAGATGTTTACATAAATAAATTAAAAAAAGATTTAGATGATACAAAAATAGAGAAAAAATAAATTTGTGATAATCGATTTTGTGGATCAAGAGTGTGGTTGTGATTTCTTGAATTGATGGCCATCCACGTCAACCACCATCGTCGGAGATCAGAGCACAATAGCG